CTCGCCGCGCCGGCGCCCGCCGCGCCGGCGCCCGGGGGCGCCGGCGCGGCGCGGCTGGCGCCGCTGCGCGCGAGCGAGGTGGCGGTGGTCGCGGAGGGCTTTGGGGACGGCGTCCTGGGGCCACAGCGCCACTGGATTGTGAAGGTCCTGGAAATTGGGGCCCTGAACATCGCCGGATTCCTAGCGGTGTGTGCGATGCTGCCCCCGCCGCCACCGCAGCAGCAGCAGTAGCAGCGACAGCGGTGGCAGCAAATACGGCGGCAACCACAGCGGCGGCGGCGGCAGCAGCGAAGCGCGCCGCGCCTTGTTTTGGGTTGTGTGTTGCCGATCGGGTCCACCTCCTGGCACACTCAAACCGCAGGGGGATGCTTGCAGTGGATTAACTCTTGCCACCGGGAAGGGCGATCCGTGCTGAGGCCTCACGATTTGCGCCCAAGCCGCAGCCGCCCCACCGCGCGCTGGCCTGCCGCCGCGTCTCTGCACCCACACCCCGCAGGTGCAGCAGGTGGTGCGCAGCTTCCTCGACCGCACCCCAGTGACCCTGGTCAAGGTGACGCGCCAAACAGCAACCACCCTCTCCGCTCTGCCTGGCTGCGCGCCTGACCTGCGGCGCGTGTGCCCCTGCAGCCCCTGCCTTGCTGTGCGCCCGCCCTTCACCAACCGCCGCTCTGCCCGCGCGCCTGGTCGAACCCCGCCAGGTCCGCTGCGCGCTGCACGCCACGCGGGACGGCAGCTTGCGGCGGCGGCTGGGGGAGATGCGGGACCTGTCGACTGGGGGGCCTGAGGGCCTGTGGCTCATGCTGGAGGAGGCCGTCAACGAAATCAACAAGCGACACGTGAGAAAAAGGGGAGGAACAGGAGGGAGGGGAGAGGGATGGGAGAGAGTGGGGAGAGAAGGGATAGGGATGGGAGAGAGAGGGGAGAGGGATGGGAGAGAGAGGGGAGAGAGGGGAGAGAGGGGAGAGAGGGGGAGGAAAGGCTGTGAGGTCCGGCGCCTTGCCCAAGCTGCGTGCCGCCGGGCCGCGCCGCACGACGGCGCGGTGCGGGGCCGCCCGGGGCCGCGGCCGGCGGCGGCCCGGCCTCCCGGGCCGCGGCGGCCGGCGCATCGCACATGCGCGCGCGCATGCTGTGAACACTACAACGCCTCATTCATTGTGTGTGCAGGGCGCCCTGGCGTATGCGGAGGCGTCGGCGGAGTTCTTCAGGTCTCAGGCCTCAGCCATCGACGCGTTCAAGTGCGTCCGCCCCCGCTCGAGCCAAAACAGCTGCACCGGCGACGCGTGACGTGCATTGGAGCCTCTCCGCCGCAAGCCAGACGCCCACCACGCGCGGCGGCCAACACGCCCCCGCCGTTGCCCCTCGCGCCCCACGCCTGGCCCCGCTCGCCGCTGACTCCTCCCCCTCTCCCATGCTCCCGCGCCCCGGCCGCCTGCCCGGCCGCGTGGTGCAGGCGGCTGGCAGCTGAGGAGGCGGCGCGCGCGGGCGCTGAGGAGGCGGATCACGTAGTGGTGCGGCGCCCTGACCGCTGCGACCTGGTGTGGGAGAAGCCCGCGCCCTCGCACAACCCGCTGCGGTCGCTGTTCGGGGGTGCGCGTGCGCCCGCGCCGCCGAGCTGGATTGTCGGATGGATTTGCGGCGGGGGAGGGGGGGTCGAAGGTGCATGCAATCGCCTGCTCGAGGGCGGGTTCACTCGCTGTTCCATTGCATCCTCCATGACGTTATGCGTTCTAACGTACACACGCGCGTGCGCATGCACACACACACACACACACACGTGCGCGCAACCACGCCTGCGTCCTCAGGGAACCACGAGCAGGGCCCCCAGGAGATGGTGGTGGTGACGCTGGTGGTCACCGCGCGCGGCGTGCTGGACGTGCCGCCCGTGACCAACTGGCCCACGCTGCGCAAGGCGCTGCAGCAGGTGAGATACCGCCGTGGCTGCAAAGGGTGCCGAGGCAGCGCCGGTGAGGAATCCTCATCAGAGCGTCTTTAGCTGCCTCGACGCTGGCTGCGCGAACCGTGGGGGCCTCGTTTGCGCCCCTCCTCCATTTGCCCAAGCAAGGCAGCACAACATGCCACACTTTTCCCAGCACATGTGCGCACCCACGCAACTTTGCTTTGCCCTGAACACCCCCGCGCTCGTCGCGCCAGGTGTGCGGCGTGTCCCGCAGCTCCATCATGGCCATAGAGCTGCTGTGGGCGCCAAACAACCCCCAAGACTTCCTCTCGGCCGACGACGTCCGCGCGGGTGCGGCCGCTTTCGCAGCACGCGTGCACGATTAAAAAGCGGCCGGGGGCGCCGGCGCGGAGGCCCCCTGCTGATTGTGGTGGTGCTGCCGCATGTGCCAGCACTGCTCCTTGCCTTGTGCTGGCCCGCCTATGTGACTGTGTGCTTGCAGCCATCTGCTGGTGGCGGCGCTTCTCGATGAGATCACCAACCAGTCAGATCCGCGGCCAGCGCCTGCCTCCTGTGCAGCGACCCCCTCTGCTACAACCATCCTCACCTGCCTTCCCCCCCACCGCCCGTCCGCCTTCCACCCGTTCAACTGCCCATCCTCACCTGCGTTGCCCCCCACCGCCCGTCTGCCTTCCACCCGTTCAACTGCCCATCGTCATGCCAGATTACCCAGACCTCGTGGACCTCTCGACGGGCCGCCGCGTGGGCGGGGAGCCCTCCTCCGAGGCGCCATCAGGCACGGGCCAGGCTGCGCCGGCCGGCGCGGCGCCGTGAGCGGGGCCCGGGCGGCGTTTGTGGTTGACGCTGCCCATTGGTGGTGCGGCACGCTCTGCGTTATGCTCAATGGGGTTTTAGAGGCCAACGTCGGCCGGTTTGCAAGCGAACGAATGTGGCCAGTTTGATTTGCCTGTGGAGGGGGCTGACTGCGGCGGGACAGAGGAGGGGGGACGCGTTGGCACGTTACGCGCGTGCTTTTTCTGGGGGCGGATGGGTCAACCTGTGGGCTTTTTGCATGCCTTCGGCCGTCGCCTGGGAATAGCCCCTTGAGCGGATAGCCCCTTGAGGCCGGCGTTCAAGGAGGCGGCGCGTCTTCATTCCTCGGCCAACGCCGGCAAGGTTTGGCCTTGATTCCTTCACAGCATGCACGCTACGCGCTGGTTACTTCTAGACACTGCCATATGCAGTGCACAACTTCAGGTGCATGTGCCATCCCCTGCCTGGGAAAGGCAGTAGCGGCCAGGCATGTTCACACACTTGTGTAACAATGCCACGCAGGGCACGTCCTTCCAGCTCAGCCCCCGCGCCTGCAGCAGCACAGATTTCAACGACAAATTGCGGGTCTGGAGCACGCCGTGTTCTGACCACCCACATTTGCTGCACCGCGCGGCGCACGCCACCGTGCCACGCACTGCTGCCCGCGCCTGCAACAGTGCCCTGCCTGTCATCGACCTGTCTTGACGCAGCCCCACACCATCCGTGAATGCGCCCGATTCGCTTGATCCCCTTGCACGCGTATACCTGCTATAACATGCTGTGAGCAACACGGAACGCTGTTATCAACGAGCTTGCCTTGATCTCACATGCACTGCGGCACTTCACAAAATCCAAGGTGGAAGTTGATCCGCAGCGGTTTGGTTTGAAAGTCTTGCTGCCAATTTAGCCATATAGTTGTGGAGCCTACACTGATACACACCAATCTTTGACGGAATCATTCACGTTGAGCGAGAGTCCCAAACGACCAAAGCCTCAGTCGTCTCGTCCCGGAGATCATTCCGACGTGATCGCCAGCACGACATCATGGCCGAGAAGAAGAGTGAGTACACGATTGATCTGTGTCGTTTGTCTCGCACAGGCAGGGCAGCAGCCCGGTGCTGGCCCTGCCACGTCCCGTTGGGCGCATACTCATCGCATCACCGCTGCCGCCCGCCCCGCCTCTCGCAGCCGTTATCATCTTTGGCGCCACGGCAAGCGTTGCAGGCCGGCCGTATCCGTTTTGGGGTGGGAGGCGTACCAGGGGATCCTAGGAGCGTGGTCCCAATCACCCGGCGCCGCACGCACCTGCCGCACGCCCCATCCCCATGCATGCAGGGCACAGTGGGCCATGCGCTCACCAAGATGCTCAAGGAGGGCCACATGGGCATGAAGGACATCAAGGTGGGAGGATCACTTGGTGACACTGCAACCTTGGACGCAACTTGCACCACTTGACAGTGTGTCCTTGTCAGCGGCCAGTGCCCACTCGGGACAAACGAATTTGCATGTCGTCGGCATGCGCGCGCAGAGAGAGGGGAGGCACTGCGCCCGGGGCCCCGTGCCTCTGCCTGGCAGGCCCATGGGCTGATGGGTGCAACTGCATTCAAGAAGGCGATGAGCTTGGTTGATGCGTTTACACTTTACGGCCCCCTTGCCTTGCTGCCCATCCCACACATACTTGCCCTCATGCGTCCCCTACCCAAAACAATCTGAGCAGATTGTGGCTGTGGGCATCAAGGAGGACGAGTGCAAGAAGTGAGGGTGGATGCTGGGGCTGTGCACTCAGTGTATTGTCATGACTGGCAACCTGATTCCCCTGCTCATATCGACGTGACCTGTGAAGCATGCAAACACCAGGACGGGTGTTCATTTCTGTGACAACAACGCGCCTCAGATCCCAAGTGTTGATGCCCCTTTTGAACCTCAACCCCTCGAGCCAGCGCTGCTGCTGCTCTGTTATAGAAACCAACCCGCTTTTAATGGCTTGGCTGGCTTCCGTCCCCGCCCTCCTCTTCCCGCCCGCAGGTTTGAGAAGGAGATGGGGGTGCACACTATGTGAGGGCTTGCGCCTCGCGCTCTCAATATCCCATGCTGGATAATGAAATGGTGGTGTTGGTGGTGCTGAGCGATCAGTAACACACAGGGAATTGCATTAACCATTCTCGCTTCTCCTTTCAGTTATCTATCCGCAACATCATCAAATAATTCGGTTGCCCGCCGTCCAGGTGCAAGGATGCTTGCAATTTCAAGCAGGTGAGGGAAATGACGATGGAATGGGATGAAGCGCCAGAGCAGGGGCTGCATTGGGGCCTGTGGTGGGGCAGGGTAGTTCGGGGTTCTAGCGAGTGGGAGTCGTGGCAACTGCGTGCAAGGCGGTAGTGTCTTGTACAAGCCACAGGCAGCCCCAGCAGAGGCTTGCTGTGCAAGCTGACTGTCAGACAGTGGCTGTATGTCTAGACACGTCAACACAAGAACCGCTCCCCCCCTCGACCGCCACTCGCCATCCAGCACGCGTCGGGTGGCCTGCCATGCGCGCCGCTCGTCTGCCGTGTTCCCCATTCCTTACCATCGACTCCGCCCCTCTCCGCCCTTCGATCACCCCCCCCCCCCAGTGCCAGGAGGTCTTCGACATGCACAAGCAGGAGGGCATCCTCGGGGTGAGCCCGCCAGACGGCAGCTGGCACCAGGCAGCTGGCACCAGGCAGCTGGCACCAGGCAGCTGGCACCAGGCAGCTGGCACCAGGCAGCTGGCACCAGGCAGCTGGCGGCGGACCACAGGGCGGGGCCAGTGCAGGAGCTCACTCTCAGCGCGGCCTTCGGATAGGGATCCCATCGGGATGCCCGGGCGTCATGGAGCGCTTGGTTCCAGTCTGCTGGCCGTGCACACTGCCGTGCACCGCAGAGATCTTGGGGATGCGTGCCTTTGCTTGCTGAGGCCCATTCTTGCCCAATGCCGACTCGCTTACAAGGTGGTGGACACGATTGGCGACTTCGCATACAAGCCCATGGTGGGGTTGAGGCTGAGTGGGTGGGTTGGAGGGGGGCAGTGGGAGACAAGCAGATGCCATCAAGTTGTTGCTGCGATAACAGCTGCCCGCCCGTCCGCGCACTGCTCGAAAATTGGTGTCTGGACCGCCTCAACACCTGTGTTGTTGTCAATCCCACCCAGGCCGACATGACGGCTGATGACGTCATGAAGGTCGTGCAGGTGTGCAAGCGCGGGCACCAAGCCACACCAGCAAGGCTAGATCGCAGCCTCGCTGGGCCTGCCGATTGGATCCGCATGGACGTCCGCTTGATGTGTGGTGATTATCGCGTCCTGCTCCCACACATTGCTGGCGGCACACGCGCTTGATGCGTCTGCTTTCCGCTGTGCCCCACACACCGCCCTCTGCCTACTCCACCCCATGCACCCAGGCCAACCTGCCGTCGTCCTTCAACATCCTCAAGCTGGGGGCGCCCCTCCTGGCGGAGGCGGGCGGCGGCTCCATTGTCTGCGTCAGCGCCGCCGTGGTGCACCACGGTGCGGGCGCATGCGTGGCATTTACAATAGAGTTCCTCGTGCGAATCAGTGCATGTTGCCTGTCCGCAAATTTCCCTACCTTTCCTTGTCCCTGTCAAAAATGGGCTCGGTCCAGTACACCGCCGAGCTGCACCAATTTGCGAGCTGCCCCCACGCGTCGCTGGTGGCCATCAAAGCGGCATGCACTGTGGAGCACTGCCGCAGAGAACCGGTCTACTTGCCCACTCGATCGGTTTTCCAGTGCGAACACCCCACCTTTCCCCTCCACACGTGCACCTGCCATGCACACGCCCAGGCATGAAGCATCACGAGGCGTTCGCCTGCGCCAAGGGGGCCGTTGAGGGTGGGCGCGTGCTAGGGCCGCCGCATAAGGACGGGGGTGTGCTAGGGCCCCGCTCAGGAGTGCGCTGCAGCTGCATACTCTTGAACACGAGCAGGCTAGCCGTGACGTGGGCTGAAATCCTGGTGTGAGGTTTGCTCCTGCAAGCCGGCTCTGCCACAAAGCTTCCTTGCAATGAGCTAAGATCACTTACTCAATCCAAACAAAACGACCACTGGGCCCTCTTGCTTGCAACTACCGTTACAGCCCTGTGCCGCAACGCGGCGGCCTGCTACGGTGGGTTGGGCAAGGCAATCGGGCGAGGGGGCATTATGGGCAGAAGGGCGAGCCGCGCCCAGCTTGTGTGGCCGCGGTCGGTCATCAGCACAGTGTCCAGGCAGCTGTTCGCTTGAGGCATGCATGCCCCCCTCTATGGCCTAGACACAGTTTTTTTGCGCATGGCTTGCAACAATCTGACTGGCGCCTGTCCCGCCTCACCACCCCCTGCAGCCTGGAAGCAGGTCAGGATCAACTGCGTCGCGCCGGGTGAGCGTCGCGAGGCCCAGCCAGCGCGGTCCTGCACACAGGGTCGTACTGGACGCCTGCAAGCCTGCCGGATGCAGGCTGGCGCCGGCGGCGCCCCTGCAGTGGAGCTCCGCGAGCCCCCAAAGCCACGCATCCCGCCAGAAGCCCACCACCTGTCCGCGCGGGCGGCGCAGCCCCTCGTTCATCGACACTGGTGTTTACCGGGTGCTCTCCCCCCCCCCGAAAAAACATCCCAGGGCTGATCAAGTGCCCCGGCAGCTGCGAGCTGAGCATGGACCCTGAGATGGAGAAGGCCAGCAAGGAGGTGGGGGCCAGGGG